AATATATAAAATTTTAGTGATTTTGTTATTAAGATTTTCGAAATATTATTTATATTTATTATTAACAAATGAAAACATGAATAATTTATTAGAATTATTTAATCATTGTCAACAACATTTAATTAAAAAACAAAAATTATTTGAAATAGAACGAGAAGATACACATAATTCAATTAATCAAACATTTAATAAAATATTTGAACAATTAATTGAAATTCGACGATTTTGTCGAAATGATATTGAAACACAAACATTAAATGTACAAGTATGTTTTAAAATGATGGTCAAATTTTATTTTTTTTCTCATCACATTCTGAAATTGCAATCTGGAACTTTATTTATAAATAGGCCTCATGGTCGATAAAAGAATCTAAGCGTTTTAATCAAAACGGATGCTTTCTTGTTGAGATATCAAATATTGAAGAAAATGTCAATTTTGTGAAATCCAATTGTGTTTTGATCATTTAATATCTCAAGAAAGAAGCATTTGTTTTAGCTGAAACTTTTAGACCAATTTAGCGGTCATGAGGTCGATTTATGAGTAAAATATCAGTTAAACGATCATAAGTCAAGAAGAAAAGTCTAATGGAATGAATTCTTTTAGGCTTCTTCTAGTCTCACACAGTCCTATTTGTGAGAAAAATAAGAACTCCAATAGAGAATATCAATAGGAAATATTTCCTTGTGAGAGACTTTTTCATTTTGATCTATTTCATTGATAATCAAAATAAAGTTCTTTTTGTTTTGAAAAGAATTTGTTAATCAAACTGTAACTAATACAAAAACTATTTATATAGAATTCAATGTTTTAATTTAATCAATAATTTTTATTCTATAAATTTTTTTTTGAAAATGTAGATTGAATTACAACAAATGCTTGATGCTATACAATATATCAGAACCAAAAGTCTTATGTATCATGGAAATACATCAGAAACATATGATTTATTTTCAATTGAATTAGAACAATGTAATGAACGATTATCAAAAATTGTTCTTTCACCTGCACGTGATCTTGATAATTTATTATCATATTTAACAGAATCATTATCCTCAATACCTTCCCATTATCTACCAGAAACACCATTATCACCTATATCAAATCAAATTATTAAAAGAAAATCTAATATTTCATCATCAACAATAACAATTGATTCAGGCAAAAATAGTGATCATAGTTTTAATAATAGTATTGCTGTATTAAATGTTAAAAATTTAAGTAATTTTAAATTTGGTCCAAGTATTATATTAGCTTATCCATGTGATATGATTGCATCAAATGGACGTTCTATACTTTCATATGTTATTGAAAAAAATTTTCTTAATTATTCAACTGTATCTGGTGTTAATTTATCCAATATTAAAGTTTATCGTTTATTAGCACCAATAACAGCAAATAATGCTCGACTTTGGGATATAGCATGGTGTCCATGGAGTAAATTTTATCTTATGTAAGTTATTCGTACAATAGATCAAATTTATTTTGTTCTTTTTTTTCAAAATATAGACTTTAAGATTGTATTAAAATTTATTTTACACTTATATAATATTTTTCTATTATCGTTTGAAATGTTCAGCGAAAATATTGATTTCCTAGAATATAGGATAGTCGTTTTAATTTCTCTTGAACTTCTGCAATATATTCAAAATAAAACATTAGGTAGCTCATAATTAGTCAAGTGAAAAAAAAAAGTTAAAATTGACATAAGAATGTAGATGAGGCTCTTGTCTTCATCTACACCCTATATACTTTTCATCATAAAATGAATTTCATAACCCCTCTCAACACCAAACTAGAAGTAGTGATTTACAGAGTTACTCTATTGTGTAAAATAATTCCTTCAACTGAATTTATAAAAATGAATTTCAGTTATACATCATCAATATTTAATCTAGACTATGACAACAGTACTCTCTAGCTTTTATCATTCATTGTATAATGATGTTCAACAATTTGAATTTCCTTGCAATAGGAATTTACCATGTCCTCCTATAACTTTAGTGTAATTGCGAATAGATGTTTTTTTCTTTTTTTGTAAATATTTCATTGTATATTTATTTTGACTTCTCTTTTTTTTTTGATTATCTATTTTAGTGTGGGTAATTTAGGTCTTTATTCACTTTGTTATCCATATGATACGAATCCATATACAAATGAACATTTTCCACAAGTAAATAAATTAATTAATTTTCGTGGTCTATCATTTCAACATGTACGTATATTATCACATTTAAATGGTTGGTATATTTATATGGTTGAACATCAAAGTGTTTCAATTGATTTATATGATCGTCGATCAGGTCAACGTTTACGTCATTATGATAATCATATTCAACATGATTTAATTCCACTTGGTTTTCATGGTTTTTGTTTAAGTAAGAAATTATTTGCTATTGTTAAAAAAACTGAAGTTCTATCAACAATAAATAATCCACATCAAATAGAAAATGTACAAAATATTCAAATATATTTTTTTGATCTTGAAACAATGTTATGTATACAACAAATGCCATTATATAATTGTTCAAATGTTTATGATATAAAATGTTGTTATGAAGAAAATATTTTTATGATACTTGCTGAACCTATGCAACTTATTCTTATTAATTTAGATACAAATGAATTAATAAGTAAAAAATTATTAGATGAAGGAAAACATTTATGTATTATTAATGATCATGCAGTGTTTATTTTACGTTCAGAATGTTCTATTCAAACACTTCAATATCGAAATAATAAATAAGATTTTGTTGAATATAGTAAAAAACAAGCTAGTCGTTTATTTTGTTTATTTGTTACTGTTATTTGTTTTGAAAATATTTCTAAAAGATCTTTTTCTTTTCGTTATTGTTTTTTTTTGTCTTTTTTGAACAGTTTGTTATAAGTAAAACGAATGTGAAAGCTAAGATATCTTTTTTTTTTTTGTTTTTCGAATTTTAAAATTAGATCAAGACAAATTTTGATTCTTCTGGATGCAGTCAGTAGTGGATTTCATTTGTTTTTGCATGGGTAATGACAAGAATTTATTTTGATGATGCTTTGTATGGTAGATCTTGTTATCTTCGTCATCTTACGATGGAATCCATCGGGCTGGTAATCTTCGTTTGAGCTCATAGTGTAGATAAAAATCCTGAAAAGGTTCGTGCCATTAGACCTTTGTTTTCGAGTTATGGCCATTTTACCGAACTCTCAGTCTATTGCAGGATATCACGAAAAAAAATCGTAACAAGGACTTTTCATCTGAAATTCTCCCAACAATAATTAAGTTTGAACTCAAACGATGATTTCTTCTTAAGATATCGTATGTCTAAAAACTAGGCTGTTTTTGGAGTTCTTCTATGAAAGCAATGTATTTTGAAAACGTGTTATCTTAGAAGAAAAATATCTGTTTAAGCTGAAACTGTCAGGATATCATGAATACCATGAGAGCTATTGTTTGGAAGAATTTCAGACTGAAGCTATTTATTGCAATTTTTCTCGTGATATCTTGTAATAGGCTGGAAGTTTGGTAAAAAGACCCTAGCTGGAGAAGAAAAACTTAATGGTAGAAACTCTTTCAGGATTTTTATGTATATTATGAGTCCTAGATATGACCAAAATATGAACTTAGACGAAGATTATCAGTCCGATGAGTTTCCTCGTTAGTTAATCCTAGAGAAATGGTGTATGGTTTCTCTACATTGTATTTCTATAAGCACTACTAGTTTTATTCAACACATCGTTGGTTTCATTGATTCTTTAATATATTAGCTGTCATCAATACATGATACTATGTTCAGTATCACTCAAGCGAAAATAAAGAGTAACTGATGATATTCAAAGAGAATAATCAAAGGAAGAATACTTGATTTCGATAATTGAAATTATTCGAATTACTGATATCACTTGGAATTATTCAGCATCATGGAATCAGCTTTTTTCTTTTCGACTGATAACCAGAGCTTTACATCGGACTCCGCAACCCAACTGTATCGTAGTTAAATCAGTAGAAAAATCAAGTAGTTTTACTCGTATATAGTTATAACTTTATTCTTCACACAATAAGTAGTGAACAAAAAGACACTACTTTATAGATTCATAAATAAGCTTCAAGAAAAAAACCATCATAGATATATTCTCATTGACAAGTAGCACAACAAAAGTATACAGAGTAGGCAAACTGTTAGACTCCACAGGGCTCTACTGATGATAAAACTCTTGATTGAGAAAAACTAATGTCTAAATAAGCCTACTGTCTTCAATAAATATACACTTTAAGTAATTCTGAATAACATCGAGTAATTCCATTGGCTGATTCCAAATGCTTTTATTGGTTTTGAATGATTCCAACGCAATAGAATCGGTTGTTTTTCCCTGCATGACCTACGACAACAAAATTATTCGTTTTTAGTTCATTGATCAATAAATATCTGTCTGTTGCTTAGAATACAATCTTTAATAAAAATTTATCTCTTATATGATAAGAATCATTATATCAAATTAGAAATATCTGTTTATATCCATTACGGTTCTCGATTGTAGGAGATGGGAGAATCTGACTTTTTGCGAAAACTCTTAATAAATTCTGCCAATATTTTATAACTTCATATTAACTTTGAACAGAAACCAGATTCTAATATACCAGTTGCTTTTCCCTAGCGGAAAGTGAAACAAAAATAAGCAGACAATGTCTTTACGAGATAAATAAGATTGGAAGAGAGACGACTTGGTGGCAAATCGTCCGTTGTGCAAGTGACCGAGCCACGGTAAGCTTCATTATTCCCCCGCTTCCTAGTCATCATTTCTATTATGCCGAGAATGAAATCGCTTTCTATTGAAGTTTTAAGCCTCTTCCATCCTTAGAAATTATCGACAATTCTGGTCTATATAAATGATAACTTTAAGAAAACTTCGTAGACTCTATCTTTTAATATTTTGTCTCGAATGATTTAAACGTAATGAAGTTTTTGTTTTTAGAGTTTTATATCATGAATATTTTCTAGATAATATTCTTATTAAAATGTCAGATATATTAACATCTTATTCATCATATGCAATTGATGATCGGAATGATACTGATAATTTAGAAGCATTTTTAACAAAACTTGCTCGGTTTGGTATTGACCAATGTTTACATTTTGCACATTTAATTGTTAACAAACAACAATCATTTCAAAATTTTTCAACACTTGATTCTAAATATAAAACTTCTGAAGATCAACAAGTAATAAATAATTTTTTTTTTCTGTTTAAAAAAAAAAGTAAAAATTTATATTTAATATATAAATATTAGATTGATTTGAATAAACTTTTGTTGGAAATACAAACATTACAAAATGAATTTTATAATATATTATTAATTATATCATCATCAAATGATGAAAAAAAACAATTATTATTTATTAAATTACAAAATTATTTATCAAATTTTCTTGAAATTAATTTACGTTATAAATCATATGAAATATCTACTAAAGAAATTCATTTAAATAATTCAAAATTAACAAAAAAATTTGATCAAAGTTTATCAACAATATCTTGTTTATCTACTAAACCATCAATAATATTATCATCTTCATTTTTTTCGAATGACGATATTGATTTAGGAAAAAATTGGAAATTTGCACATATAATTCATACACGTTTTCAAATGTCTTTAATTTCATCTGATTCATATATGATTATATGTTATAATAACCAAAATAATTTTCTTCATTTTATACGTATTAGTGGACAATTTCAAGGAAATATTAAATGGAAATATGAACCTATTATTGATATGCATTGGTAAAATCTTATGAAGAAAAAAAAGTCAAACAATTTTTATGATACAATTTTTATTTTTTTTTATTCAGGTGTTCATTTATTAATCTATTCATAGTTGTAACACATAATGCTATTTATAGTATTGAATATAACAAATCAAAATTATTACCATCAAATTCAATAATTGTTGAAAAAGTTCTTGATTTAGAAAAATTTAATTCTGCTCGAATTGCTTGTAATGAAAATAAGATTTTACTTTATACCATTTATCAACATAAAAGTTTAATTCAAATTTATGATAAGCAATTCAAGAAAGAAAAAACATTTGATAGTTCAATCAACAAACAATTACCGGTAGATTAATTTATTTTAATTAAGTCTTAGAGTTTTTTTTTTTTCTAAATGTTTCATAACTTACACAAGAGATACTGTTCATTACATTGAGATATACTTTTATTCATAAACTCTTTGAGACAGCAGTGTCCAACGACTGAGAAATAGGAATTCCTAATTTGTAGAGGAATTGTCAGTGTAGCTATGATAATTCCTTGGGGAAATGGGAATTGACCATTATTTCCATCACACTTCCCTCATTCATGAAAGTCAAGATAATGCTTTTTTTGCAATAATTTTCGTACTCATACGTTCATGTGCACAAATTTCTTGATGAAAACGAGTGTAAGAGTAATAAATACCGTGAATATTGTATTTTTTTAATTTTAGCATTCAAGGAAATATCAGGGAACTGAGTAGGAATTCCTATTCCTCAGTCCTTGGACACCCCTCTTATTTCACTACTCGCAAACAAAAATTGAGACAAAATTTCTAGGTCCATATTCAAAAAGAGTACTCTAACTCATTGTTTGATCATCCGTTATTAAACGAAAATTCAAAAGTTTTAATGTAATAAACTTGATGAATACATATGTTTGGATGTCATGAAGAAAGATAAACAATATAGAAAATAGTCTCTGACCACTTTCAAATTAGTAAAGAAGCTTATATTCTGAGCCTGAGTTTTTTCATTTCATAGTAAAATATATAAGATCTCCCATAGACGAACACTTTTCAAAAGTCCCAATAGTATTCAATTTAAAAGAAGCTTTATTGTAGAAAAAACAGTTTGATAAAATTAAACGAGGAATTTTATATTTCTAAATTGTTTTCATTATCGAAAAAAAAAACTTCTTGTTTTTATATTTAGATCAATAGTCATTCATTTTGTTGTACAAATACATTGATTGGTTTAACAGAAAAAGATGAAATACTTATATCATATTTTCCATATATAACTCCAAAGAAAGTTACATTACTTCTATTTGATATTGATACATTTGAATTACGTTATACAATCGATTTAAATAATTGTTCACATATATATACAATGAAATGTCTTGAAAAATATAATATATTCTTTGGTCTTAGTGATGAAAAAATTCTATGGATTATTAAAATTAATAATAATGAAACAATACAAATGGCAAAAAAAACATTCTATACAGATCAAACAGAAGTAAAAAGCAGAATATTTATTTATGAGATCTTTTTTACTAATTAAAAAAATTGAATTTTAATTATTGTAGATGTGTATTGTTAATAATCAAGATTTATTATTGATCAATGTTAATGCTGGTTATGCTATTCAATTGATCAAATATCGTAAAATAAAACAGTAGTTATTTCTAGTCTTGTATGTTTTTGTTTTATAGTTACCGAAAAAAAAAGATGTTATATTTATGAAAATAAAAAAAAGCCTTTATAGTCAAAAAAATATATTACTATTATTTTGATTAAAGTTGAATACAGAATGAATCATATTGCTATTTTCTGTTTTGTTTTTATCGTATGTCATGCATAACAAAAAGGGCAAGTATATCGTATAATCTGGAAAAAAAACGATTACTCAAATTATATAATAATCGAAAGAAAATTGACTTATGAATGAACTAAATATTAATTATGGTGAATGGTTTTCTGTTTTCAGATTTCGATAAATTTCAATAAGATAATGATTAGATTATTATTAATAATTCTAGTCATTTCAAAAACTAATGGATATAATAAAAGAATATATTCATCTGTAGAAAATACTCGACCAATTATTGGTAAAATTATTAAAATGATACTATAGTCACCTATGATTTTATTGATATAATTAAGGAATTTTAACTCAACCAACTCCATCAATATGGGGAAAACCAAATCGTACTACTTATATAGCAGCTTCTTATGTTAAATATATTGAAGCAACTGGTGCTCAAGTTGTACCTATTCGGTAAAAATTTGAAACAAAAAAAAATATATATTTGAATAAAAATTTGTTTTTTTTTAATTTTAAAGAATGTATCAATCAATAGAATATTATTTACATTTGTTTAATTCACTAAATGGGTTTGTTAACAAATAAAACGAAGTAAAAATTCTTTTTTTCTTATTATATTGTTTGTCTTTTAGAGTACTCTTTCCAGGTGGAGAGTTTGCTAATGAATATCTTTATGTTGCTAAACTTTTTTATATGTGGTCATTAAAAGTGAACTAAAAGAAAAAAAAATTTTTTCGTTTAATTTATATCAGTCGTTCTTTTTTTGTTTTTAGGATTTTGATGAAATACAAAAAATTTTTCCTTTATGGGGAACATGTCTTGGTTTTGAAGTGTTACTTATGTTAACAAGATGTTCAACTGATATTATGGAACCATGTAGAGGATATGATTATGCAACAGAACTTACTTTTATGCCAGGTATTGAACTTAGTATTTAGTTTTTATTCAAATGTTTTATCATTTTTTTGCATATAGATGCAGCGGATAGTCGATTATTGGGAAAATCATTACCAATAAATATAGAAAATGCCTTACAAAATGAACCAACAACAGCAAATTTTCACGATTTTTGTATGCGACCAGAAGTAAAAGTTCTTTTTCGAATTTGATTTTATTATTAAATATATATTTTTATTAATACAGAATTTCTTAGCTGATCCTATATTATCAACATTTTATAAAGCGTTAACCGTAAGCCCAGATTTAGAAGGTCAAGCATTTGTCTCAACTATTGAAAGTAAATACTATTTATGATACAATTCAACTTTAACCATATGTAATACTGTTTCTAAAAATAATATGTTTCCCATGTTGCATGTTTGTTCGCACAACTGTCCCTATAGAACATGTCCCATGAGTTACCTACAGTAGACTGCTGATCGAAGAACAGCTATCGGTATACCAGGGTGCAATAACAGTCAGAAGATCACTGATCGTTTAAGGATACCTCTCCCTCTTTTTTTTGACCAAAAGCTCGATTTCGACCTAGGTATAAAGTATCATAGCCTCAAGTACTATGTGCAATAAGAGACATCATTCGCCTTTACATAATTTAGCAGTCTCCTTATTCCAAGTACTCTATCTATCCAATCTGATCGATTGTACTCTCATCGAGAATCAAGAATGATCAAAAAAAAAAGTGGCGGAGTAAGGTACTTTTAAGTATTAAACTACCGCTGTGTACAGCACATGACACCCGAATTATCTACTGACAGATTTTGTTCGGTTTGAATCATATAGATGTTTCAATTCTAATTTATTCGACCTAATCATTGCATTGAAATTGAACAATATTACAAATTCTATAGCAATTTATTTAGGTCGTCGTTATCCAATTTTTGGTGTTCAATGGCATCCAGAAAAGAATGGATTTGAATGGCGAGTAAATACAACAATACCTCATACAAAAGATTCAGTTGAAGTTATGCAATATATGGCAAATTTTTTTACTAATCAAGCACGTCAAAATATGAACCAATTCAGTTCATTAGCAGATGAATTAAAATATCTTATATATCTATATACACCAGAATTTAGCGACTTAGATACATCACATTTTCAACAACTTTATTTTTTTTATGAATAAAACTTATTTTGTTTTTGTTTTTTTATTTTCAAATAAAAAAAAATATGAAATAAATATTCTAATATTTTAGTTGTTGAATAAATTGATCATTTGTTCGATAAAATCGAATATTTTTACTTATTTTTAATGGCCATGTTACCAAACGATAATAACCATTCATCATATTTGGACATATTCTTTCAAATGGTTGCATTGATATCCACCATGGCGTTAAAAGTAATGCTACAGGCATTATAAATAATAATAATATAATGAAAAGTATAATTCGTAATATCCAAACATTGATACTAGTTATTGATTGATTTACACTATCAGATGAACTAGTTGATGTACGATTAGAATGTTTTGATTCACCAGAATCAACACGATAAGGCATTTTAAATACTTTTTTTTTTTTTGTAAATAATGGCGCATTATTTTGTTTTTTTCTTTCTTTTTTTATTCTACATTTGTATTCAAGATTGATTATTCTATAGAAATGGTCAGTCATTTAATAAAACGATATAAATAAATAAAAATAATTCAATTTAGATTGAAAATAATGATAATATACTTGAATTTCCTTTACGATTGAGTAAAATATGTTTATTAAGTATACGTGATGATAATACATTTATTTCACCAATAGCTATTGAAGCTGCATTTCATGCATTATCATTTAATAATAAACGATTGAAAAATAATTTCAATAAAAAAATTCCATTTGATTTTCATAATTATTTTATTCTTAATCAAGATTCAATACAAATATTTCATGAAAATCTTAATGTAAGTTTTAAATGAAAAAAAAAAGAAAACAAAATTAAAAGAAATCTATTAGGAAGAAACAATAAAATATTTTAATACAGAATTTCAAATTCATAATTTAAATGATATAGAACAAAGAAAATTTCTTTTAAATCAAATTATAAAACATTTCACTGATCAATCATTAATATCAATTTTACCATCACAAAAAATTCTTGAACAAATTATTGTTGAACCAATGACTTTATTATCATGTTGTTCATTTGTTTTTCGACCATTTAAAATCGAACATTGGAAACAACTTTGGTAAAAAAAATTATATTTAAAAAATAAGTCAGCAGTGTTTAGATTTTCGAGAAAGAAAATTTCCGAAATCACTAACACATAAGGTCGGTTATTTCTGGGAAATTTTGGTACTTATCAGACCTCGAAATTGGATCACTTTTTGATGGCTCCGTCCGATCGACTAACAGTGTCCATACGACCCGGCTCAGAATGACACTAATAAAAGTATATTTCTTTTACAAAAAGGATTTCTATACGATGAAACTTCACAATTGCTGCAATCATTTATTAGAACATGGTAAAAAGTTTATTATCATAGTGATCACAAGTTGAATAAGGTCGGACAATTTGAATACTTGAAAAAACCAGCATGATAGATTCACGAATAAAATATCCACTGATCAATTTCAAACAGTCAGATCGGTTACTATTGTTGAGTTACATAGTCAGCACTATTCCACTTCCGTAACACTCATGCTACTTAATGCAATTAGTAGTGCACTTGGTCTTGTGTGTGGATGAAGAATATGGTTAAACCGAATAAATGCTATGCTTTTATTTATTGGTTAAATGAAAATTCCAAAACGTTCGTATGATAAAGATTCCTGATTGTTACTAGTTGTGAGGTGCAATACTTATACAAGAAATTTGGCGAAAAATGGAAATAAAATTGATTCTGATTGAAATCTGATTTTTCATCTTTAAAGATGGATATTAATTGGTTTTAGTCTTTTTTAATCGATTAATAAAGTCCTACAGATTGAAATTTTTTTCAAAATCGATCAAAATCAGAATTCTTTCTGTTTTCTTAGGTAGGAACTCTTCTTTGAGAAAAAAAAGATAAAGTTCGGATCCGATGATCCTACAAAAGTTAAGATTCGCTCGGTCAGGAAGAAAAATCTTTCTGAATCGGATAGTCCTTTTACCCCTCTGCCTTTTCAATCTCACATTAAACAATGCATAGTGTTCTTGATCAGTTTTTGTAAACTTTTGAGTTTATGCAACCATTCATTTTTTAAAGATATTTAACAATTATGAAATTCAAAAGAAAAAATTTTCAGACTACACACAAATTATATGAGAGTGATCAATCGAAGCGTACACGTTTATACAATATCCTACTCGAATGTATTCGCAGACGGCATATTCAGTTACATGAAATAGGTTTGGATACCAAGACGAAATTCCATTAAATAGATAGATTCAATGTGAAGATTTTGATACATTTATTCAGTCGTATTCTGAAATGATCAAATATGTGAGAGAAGCAAATAAAAATACAGTCATATAAAAAGATTTGAACAATTGACATTTGTTTTCATGAACCATTTTTGTCTTGCTTTCTGAACAGAATTGTTAGCAATATAGCATTATTGATAACTTATTTTTTCATAAAAAAAAAAAATAAACGTTACACATCATTTGCACAACGAAAGATGACAACAAGATTTGTCTGAATAGCAAATCCATTTTTTTTCAGTCATATATCAAATACAATACTCTTGATTTTTGAAATAACTATGTGCTTCATTCGAGTTGTCTGGAATTGGTAGTCCATTAGTGAATAAAAATCCCAGTAGTTTCGAAAGATAACAAGTAAATATTGAAATTTCTTATTAATATCTGAAATCTATTATAGAATTTTCTTAAAATTTCTTTCTTATGCTTAAGTAATTTCCAAAATTTCCCGGATGATTTTTTTTCTTGTAAATCGATAATCAGAGAACTTCCCTTGGAATTATTTTCTCATATGTTAACAATTTCGGAAATTTGAACCTACTCGAAAATAAAATAACTAATTAATTAAATATGTTTTTTTTTGTTTTAATTGAAATCAGGTCATTAAAATTTCATTCAAACATTCATTTATCAATTGAAACAGAATTTTATTATACAAAAGGTTTTTTTCATGTTGCTTTTCATGATACATTTCATAAAATTGAAATACCTGGTCAAGTATTCAATGGAATCCAAATGAAATTAATCATTTTACTTCCACAGTTTTTCATCTAAAAGATAATTTTTTTTTTTAAAAAGCTATATTTATTTCAGATGTTCATCTGATCTTACTCATCTTTATGCTAATATAAAAGAATATCTTACTTTACCAGTTTCATCAGCATATATTGCTGTATGTATACCAAATATATCCATGGATATTCATATTAATCTTATCGAATCATTGAAATTTTTTAATGACTTATATAATAAAAATCATTTAGGAGAATTGAATCAAGAAATTCATTTATGTTTGTAATCGAATTGAAAGCTTTTCCTTTTTTGATTTTATATGACTTTTTATTTTTGAATTCTAGCTGCTGCACATTCTATAGGTCATTTTGCTCTTGATATGAGTACAGACAAAATAAAACAATCATCATCAAATTGTTTACATTCAATTGATCTTTCACCAACAACTCCATGGGTATTCTTTGCTAATCGTCCATTTTTATTTTTAATTACATATGATGATTATTATTTATTAATTGGACAAATGTTAGGTCCAAAAATTCGTCAAGAAACAAAGAAATTTTCTTCAAAAATAAAACGTTAGATTTACTATTGAGAAAAATACAGAAAATTTTAGATTTGAATAATAAAAATATCTTAAGAATGCACATTTTTTGTCAACATAAAATAATTAGTGCGCGACAAAAGTTTCGCTCCTATTGAAATGAATATATTATTTGATTTCGATGTCGAGATTTAGAATGTAACATATACATACACAAAAGACTTAGAGACATACACTATGAACATTCTGATTTTTTACCTACCTGCTTCTTCGTTGGACAAAGTAGGAGTATATGAAATACTCTGTTAGATGGCTTTTTGTCAGATCGAGTCCTGCGTTTAGTTCTTCCTTTGGCAAGTAGACTGTGGTTTTTTTGCCTGTTTGTTGGAGCGAATACCAATAATACTCAGTCACATTGAATTCAGATGAATGAGGTGATCAATCTAATAATTGATTTTCGTTGATCATATACATTAGTTGCTTTGATACAAGCGTGTTGTTTGCGTCAATCGTAACTTAGAGATCTATGCACCTATTAATGCACATGAGCTGACTCAACCGCTGAACTCGTTGAAGATGTAGTGATTGAAAGTCTCTGTTGAACGTGTCAATATATAATTGGTGACTAACTGTTGTTGGTGTCTAATGAGAGAAATTTTGTAATGTGATATATCAGATCCAATGAACAGTGTTATTTCATGCAAGCAAACAAAAATATAAATAATTATTCTGCGATCATTACAAAGTTAAGACACTGCTACATTGAGTTGCTTCACTCGTTGTTGGATTTCTTTTAGAGAAAATAAGCATTATTCGCATGTCCGATGTTGAATTTTTTACTCTTCTTAATTAGTTAATGAATCCGAAGAATAATAATGACAAAACACAGAAGCTGAATATGAATAATGAGTTATCAGGGAATGCTATGTTTGACAACGATTTAAAGTTTTTCTGCTATCTGATTATGTGCGAGATGAACGAGTTCATATAGGAGTGAAACTTTTGTCGCACACTAAATAACTGCTATTAATACTAGAAAAATTCAGACGTTGACAAGCATCTAAATCTAAAATATGAATGTATGTATGTAATCTAAACTGAACTTCAAATAAGAACTTTTTTAAAGGTAACAAATTTTTTTTCCGCCACTTCGATATTCACGCTAGACTTATCTTGGAAAAGAAAAACGATTCAATTTTCTACATGTCTTTTAAAATAACAATAGTTCTAAGAGACAAGGAGAGAGAGAGAGAGACAGAAAGAGAAGTTTTTCTTTTCTCACATTTTTTCAAGTAAGGGAAGATTGTTGATTGTCACTGCATGCCAGACGTTAATATTGTTCATTTTTCTCGTTTACTATTACTATGACTATTCTTCTGAATGTTAATCAAACAACACAAGAAGAAATAGAAATAGAAAAAAAAAGACGAGGAGCAACGTAACAGTGACGAACGTTTAAAGATACTTTTTTTTTGTTGGTAATTCTGTGACAAACTTTGAATTAACATATTAGAAAATAATCATGAGCATACGTTCGAAAACACTACCAATTGATGAGCATTATTGTCAAATATGTACATATACATCGTCGATTACTGGTAAAAAACGTTTATCATATTATTCTTGTGATCATTGCCATTTATCAATGTGTTATGATTGTTTTGAAAAACATACAACTCAATTAATTGATGAATATTTAGAAATACAAAAACGTTATTCACAATTAGCCAATTTATTTAATAATAAACAACAATTACTTAAAACATTTGAAGAACATTGTATACGTAGTGTTAATACTGTTTTTGATGAAGTACTTGATGATTTACAAACTCTTCGAAAAGAAAGTATTGATTATGTTCAACAACAGTTTAATGAATCTCAAGTAAGTTTTCTTTTTTTGTGTGTTTTTCTCAACTAGAAAAATAATAAATAAAATATTTTCTAGATTGTTATATCAGATATGATTACAAATATCAAATCGTTAATAACTAAATCTCAACAAAATTGGATTCGTGATGGTATAAGAAAACATGTTATTCTTGAACTTGATATTCAACGTAAACAAATAAATGATATTGAACAAGATTTTAATAAATTTTCTTTATCTAATATGCAATTAAAAATGTCTACATATCCACGAAATAAACTTGATTTAGATTGTCAATTATTATTAAGTTCATATACAACAATAAAAAAATTTTCTTGTTCTTATCCAGGCAAAATTATATCAACAAAATGTTCATATGATCAACATACAGAATATGAAAATGAAAAAATTGATGTTGATACAGAAGTTGAAGAACTTAATGAAAATCTTTATTCAACAAAACAAATACAAACTGATTCTGTTATTGAATCTGTTCATAATACAGATGTTGATGATGATGTTGAGGATGATAAGGATGAGGAATATTTTTCTTTACAAGAAGAAACAAGTGAATTAAATAATTCAATTCATACAGAACATTGTTTAAGTAAACGTTATATTAATCAAGGTACAATATTAACACAAAATGAAGTTGATCGTATTGCAAGTGATGGTGAACATTTACTTTATTTTTCTGATACATCAAAATCACTTTGTTATATTCTAAGCATTTTATCTGATAGACGAGTTAATGGAACATCAAGAACAAAAGAAATAACATGCCGATGGCCACATTCTACTATACTTGATTTAGTTTATTCACCAACTTCATCACAATTTATTTGTGCAACTAAAACAGGTATTTATACATGTATTATTGATTCAAATAATGATGATTCAACTATTGATATACAATTGCAAATAACACAATCTTGGTCTTATATAAGACTATCAGCTGATAAAAATTTTCTATGGGTTTGGACGGATACTCCACGTTTAAGTCAATTACATGTTTATTCACCTAAAACATTTGATTGTATAAAAAAATTTGATTTACGTAATTATCGACTTTTTTCGAATAATAGTACATCATTTTGTATTCATACAAATCTTATTGCAACTGTATTTCAATTTAAACAAACAACAAATACAATGATATATAAAAAAAATTTTCATGTTACACTTTGTGATAATATAGGTTTACATGAATTATGTACAATAAATTTAGGTGAATGTGATATTGATCATGAAATTCGAGCAAATAATGATGGAATCTTTTTTATAACGAATGGAAAAAAAACGTTATGGATCGTTGATCGTTATGGAAAAAAAGAATATGTTAAATTACATCGTACAGGTCGAGCATTAACAGTACATACAACAAATCAAATATTAATTGCTAATGGTACAAAACACTTGCAATGTATTGAACTTATACAAAATGACAACAAAAATATATAAATGCCTAGATATATATTATGTGTGTGTGTGGCTTTTCATAACCTTGAGAAAAAAAAGAGTCTATCGAATGTAGTGTAATTTATGAAGTATGTGTTTATATTCATATATTTATGAGTTCTATTGACTGATATTCGTTGTCTTTGTTTTTCTTTTTTTTTGATTTCGTTAAGAGGTCAGAGAAAAAAACCAATTACATGTTGTAAATTATTCGTATGCAATTGATTGAAGTTTTCTCAATAATTAAAGGTACAATGCTTGAAAAAATATTCATTTGAAGATGAATCATGAACAAACAAAAAAAAGCTTTTAGAATTACACTTGAAGTTTTACAGTAACAAATACTTTTTTTTTCCGCATGAACATTTGAAAGTAGATGATCGTTCGTGCACATGACGTGATAAAAAAAATAAATTACAGAACTATGAGCATGTCCGTCCATGAAGAATATTTAATATGCATCGAAAAATATGCGTTTTTAATAAATGTAAAGTCATATATAAGAAACCAATGGGAAATTTTTTTTTTGTGCTTAAAAAACAATGCTTTTCATAAATTAAATAATGAGTTGATCTGATTTTCAAGTTTATTAATATTACAAAACTGTACAAAAGAAGTATTCTTTTGCTCTAGAATTTCATTTCTACGATATGTAACTGATTGTCTGCTTTTTTGAACTAAATGAATTTTGTTTTGTCAAAAAATACATATATATGCACAAAAGTACAACAGATATGGATAAATCATTAGCGAATGTATAATTATTAATACATTAAAAATATCATGATAGTATAATGTAAAAATCATCGAATTTATGCGGTGCTACAATTCCAAAATCAAATGTCGATTTTCCATATAGATCAATTGTATTAATGAATGACATTTCGTTTACTTTATCGAATAATAGTATATGTTTAATTCAACTTATTATTGTGCATTAGAAATAGAATCAGTTTGGACCCGAACCGATCATGTGTCTGTTGTACATTAATGGTAATCTTTACTTTTCTGTCTGATATATTAGGTGACCAAAATTTCGCTAAAAGAACTTTCACCATTAGCGAAATTCTGGAACTCCCAAATATACTTGTAACATACTATCTAATTTCCCAGTGACCTATTGGTTCTAATCATCATTTTATGTCTTTAATTTGTGCTCGAAAACTATATATTAATGAACTGTAAGAACGTTTGCACTATTGATCTTTATCGAATATTAATAACGATTTTTTTTTGTATTGCTTCGAAACTAATTACAATTTACAGATCGATCGGATAATTCTAATAAATGTTACACTGATATGAAAATATTAAACTTTCGTTTGGTTATCTCTTTGTGAGTTGTAAGTGTCATTATTCGACTGAACTATCGGTCCAACTCTTTAAATGACAATCGTCAAACTGTTATAAGAAACTTGTCTTTGACTATTCTTGTTGGTGATTGTTATGCTGTTATAATATATTCAGTTAGTCATTTTATGATTTAAATGGTATTAGTGTTCATCTGAATTGACATATATTTAATTTATGGATGAATAAATTCGTTGCAAACTATTGATTAAAACATATTCATAAAAATATTAATCTATTTTCAATAATAATTCACATATATAAATGTATTTGATCAATGAAAATCGATTGGAGCTTTTTTTTTCTGTAGTAATATTATTAATAGATTATAATGAAATAAAAACAATTTAGTAAAAACTTTTTATATTTTCTCGAACTTTTTTAAATGATTGTTCGCATATGCAAGCACAGATATTTTGTTTCTATACACTGAAATATACAATATATGCACAAAAACAGCACATGCTTGTCTATGTTACAACAAAAAACAGAGTGAAAAGAAAAACACAAAAAGTCGACTACAATAGACTGTCAGTATTCATAGATATAATATGAATTTAGCATTTAAAAGAGGGATTAAATTACTTGCAGGAAATTTCTATAAAGGAATGTTCACTGTCGTTGAGTTCATTCGCTCAATCTACTAGGCACACACGTCATAATATACAAACAAAACAAAACAAAAAAAGAAAGAAAGAGTAGTAAACAAAAAACAACGGCAAAAAAGGAACACGTAAGAACGGAAAAATGAAAGAAAAAAGAACAAATAATATTTTTATCTATTAATTACGCAATCGTTGCACCATAGCTAATAATTTTTCAGCATCACTATAAGTAAATCTTTGATTATTATTATTATTATTATTATTATTATTATTATTATTTTGCACAATTGTATCAGATATTGTTTTTGAAGAAGACCAATGTGAATTATCATTATTTGTTATTGAAGATGAATATTTAACTTGTTCATTTATCGAATAATCCATTTGTTGTTGTAGAACTGATTCATTTGTGTTATTTTCAAGAAATTTTTGTAAACATTTTATTGTATTTGATTCTTTTAAATCATAAGAATTCGAATAATTTTTTCTTGTTGATTCAATTTGATCAATATAATTATTTTGATAATATAATGAATCAAGACTACAACAGACGTAAGAAAAAAACAAAAAAAAACAAACGTGTTAAATAACAATTATTGATATATAATATATAAGCAAAGAAAAAGTTTTAAAAAAAAATAGCAATAATAAGAATCAATGTGCATACTATAAATAATATAAACCTTGCAGGTTTTTTATTTTCTAGATAATTTAATTCTTCAAAAATAAAAATGATTTATATTAACTTTCATTAGAACTTTAAAAACTAGCAAGGTTCAAGAAGAATTATTTATTTATTTATTTTTTGTGCTTATAAGTGAGTTAAACTAAGAACTACGCATTTATATATATTAGCATTCTAACGTAGATATAACACATGCACTCACGCCGCCACCATGTATCTATTTATATGTTCGAGCAGAACGTAATATTGTATAACGAACTATTCTAAATAAGAAAATGAGTATAATAACGTGCAAAAAAAAAAAAAAGAAGAAAAAAAAACAAAAGGTAAGAGTTCGCAAAAATACCCAAGCTAGTTAAATCTGTTATATAAATGTTTTATTCTACCAAAAAAAGTAAAATATATACATATATTGTAGAACTGTTCTATTGATAAAAGAAAACATCAAATAGGTGATTAAATAAACTCACCGTTTGATGATTGTTAAACAAATAAAATTGTCAAAATTTAATATATATAAACCGGGTGGTCCAAAAAAGTAAGGAAAAATAATGGGTATCTAATAATAACTGATGAAAAACTGTTAATGATATTTTTCATACTTTTTATTGATGTAGAGAGCTAAAACTTTCAGAAATAAAAGGTGTTAATTAGATATATATGTAATAAAAATTTCAGATCTTTACATCAATAAAAAGTATAAAAAATATCATTAACAGTTTTTCATCAGTTATTATGGGATACCCATTATTTTTCCTTACTTTTGGGCCAGCCGGTATATATATATATAGTAATAATAGGCTAACCAATCAGAAGGAATATCATTATAGATTAGATTTAATATAAAAAATTTTTGTTTATAATTGTCCATAGGGAACTTTGTGATGTAGAAGATAACACTAGAAGATTTTATTTCTATATTAAGGAAAGTGTAAATGAAATTGACACTACAGCTTTTTTATATAAATAAATCTATTTTTTTTCTAATACAAGGAGATAATATATTAAATTGCATAAGTTAACTTTCAAAAATAAAACGATTCATTGAATAGATAGAAATTATCTATTTTGATTAGGAGGTATGCGTCAAACTCAGACGTTCGAGTTCGGTCTTGAATACGATCATTTTCAGTTAATTAATAAAAGAAAGCTAAGATGAGAAAGGATTTCAAGCTTGGCTATGGTAGGTATACACACACTGGAATAAACGATCGAAAAACTAAAAATCTGTAGACTTCCTTAAAAAAGCCAACAATATTCAGAAATACTCGAACCTGAAAACCAGGCCTGTGTTCGGGTTCTGTACATGTCCAATCTTAATCAAATAAGAAAATATTAAAAGCTAGAAAGAATAGTATACTGTAGTCAATAGTATGCCTGATTTATTATTCAAAAGCTTAGTAATAAATATTAGAGGCTATATACCTTGAAAGTTAAAGAGAGATTGTGATCTTCTCGACTGTATTCGTATTTCATTAGACGAATTCTCCTTAAATTTAGCATCAATAATCATTCATGGAGATAATAAACTAAATAGTTCAGTATTACTGTAGTGATGAATATAGAAAGATGATTTCTAATAATGAAACTTTCCCCACTTGAAAGTCGCTTTTGAGTTCAAGTTCTGTGTATAAGATAGATTGCAATGATGTATTAAAAACCCTAAAAGGATAAAGACTGATGATATTTTAACCTACAACTTCGCCCATAGATAGGCTTACTTGTATCTAGAAGGTCCTAAAAATTTCAGCTCAAAATAATGTTCCTTTCACAAGATATGAAATTTTCAAAAAACATAAGATTCTCACATTTTTTGTGAAATATGAATACTTTTTGGAAATTCAATATCTCGTGAAGAAAACATTCTTTTGAGCTGAAATTTTCAAAACATTCTAATTACAAGTAGCTCTATCTATAGGCGAAATTTCAAGTCAAAATACTGTCAGTCCATATCTTTTTTGCAGTTTTTAATACATCATTAGGGTCTACCTGATGCATAGAGTCCGAAGTCAAAAGTAATTTTCAAGTTGTGAAGGTTCATTGTCTATACACTCAGATGAATATGTACCATGCGAAAAGCAGTATTGTGTACATTCAAGTTCTTTTGTTTCGTGTTTCTAAAAATGATTTAATTAAGGAAGATACTTCTGAACATATTTTCAACATATAGACTTTTATTTTCAATTTTTTAGTTAAAAAAAAGTTTTTATTTTTCTTACTTTCGATCTTGCATTGTCACCGGTGAAGAACTACGATTATGTGTTGATGATTTCGGATAATGAAAATCCATTAGTGGTTTTGGAGGAGATAGAATATTCGGATTTGAAAAACGTGGATGATCAGCAACAGATTGATGATTATAATTAAATCTTTTATGTCGTATAGGTTGTCGTTGTTGAAGATTTTGTAAATTATCAGATATCATTAAATCATTTAAATTTCGTTGATGATATGTTGATGATGAAGAATTTCGATAAGATGTTTCATTAAATATATTATTATTATCATATCGATTTGATAATTGATTTTTATATTGTTTATGTTGACGATTTAATAGATTAGATGGTTGTTTTCGTTCATATTGATGTTCATCTCGTGATTTAATTTGTTGATGTCGACGATAATTATCATTTGATGGTCTTGATGATTGTAAATAAGTTTTTGATTTTGATAGTATTTTAAAATCTTTTATTGATGAACTATGTGAATTTGTTGATGATCGTCGTTGTCGTCGATCTTTTGATTTTGAACGTGAACGTGAAGATTTGTTTGTTGAATTATCTGTTATTGTTTGGTTAGAATTGGAAGTTGTTCGTCGTTTTTCTTGAATATCACGTCGATAATCATGATCATTATTAGTTGTTGGAATAGTTACTATAGATTTAAGACTTAAATCTTTTTCAATTGTTTCATCTGTATTTTCAATTTTAATTATTGTATTTGATGATGATGATGATGGAGAATGTGAATCAATTTTCATACGTTTAATCGGTGGTTGTTCATCTGGTAAATCATTTTGATTATTATCTTTTAACGTTTCAATATGTTGTTGATTATCATTTGATTGTTTTGAAACGAGTGTTACTGTTCGAGTTGAAGAAATTTTTTTATGTGATGATTTTACGGGTCTATTTATTGAAGAAGAAAAAAGAATAAATAATTTGGTTCTTTTTTTTGCCTTACCGAGTTTTATTATTTGATGAATGTGAATGAAATTGATTAGAATTAGAATAATTTGATGATGTATATTTTTTTGTATGGTCATTATCATCAAATGATCGTCTTCGATGATGATGATGATGATAATCATATGAACGTTTATGATTATTTTGATTTCTATCTGGACTTGATGATTTTGATATATACGCTTCTTGTGTTAATAATCGAACAAATTCATCACGTGATCGATTTGAATCTTCTTGTTGTGTATTGTCATTTATAGATGATGAATTATTATTATCAATAGGACTATTTTCACTTGATGATGATGATGATGATAATGATTCATATTGTCCTAAACATGTTTTAAAAACTGTTTCTTCTGATGGAATAATAATTGATTCAGATTTTGGTATTAAATGTGAATTTGTTAATAGGATTTCATTTTGTTGATATTGTTCAATTGATTTATGACATGAATCACTATAATTTGAATTATCAAAAATTTTATTTGATTCATTGGATAATGTAGCAGTAAATATAAGAGATGTTAGTGGTTGAGTATAATTTGTTTCATTCATAGATGGTAATGGTGGTAGTGTTAATGGCGGTGGTAATGGTGGCGGTGGTGTTGGTACTCGAAAACGTTCATCATGATCACATAATCCTTGAGAAGATGGAGAATCGATATCCATGTCAATGACAAAATTGATTGTTTGATCATCGGGAATGGATTCTTTAAAAAAAACTGTTAGTACAATCTCTGCAAGCTTAAAATTTGAAACATAATGTAGCTGATTTTGCTAAACATAGGGGAATGGTTTTATTCTATCTACTTTTGTGACACATTTCTTCATCATCTTTTTACTTAATCCTTGTGAAATGCAATACAGAAGTAACGGGTGACCCATAAAGAATAGACCTCTCAATATTTTGAATATTTCTCAGCAGTCTTGCGACATAACAGGACAATTTTTTTTCATAGATTTCTCGATCAATTCTCTACAAATTTGCATTTTTTGTTTTATCAAGCTGTTTACGTCGGGCACTACAAATGATTTTGTTAGCTTTTCTCTTAATCATACCAGACTTCAATCAATTACTGGTTCGAAACTAGTTCTAATAAAGTCTTCAGAAGAATCGACGACTTAATTATGTAGGCAAATGAGAATGATCGAAATTGTCACTATTGTTTGGAAACTTTCGCTTTTGATCACATAGTAAAGAACGTTGTTTTTTTTTTTTTGAAAAACAAACTAGAGAAGTACTTCTTCTAAATATGGAAGATGATCATATGCACTTCGACTCTTTTGAAGAATACATTAGAATTAGTTTAGGACTTATAATTGATTGAAGTCTTGTATGATTGAGAGACAAGCTAACAAAATCATTTGTAGTGTCCGATGTAAACAGCTTGGTAAAAAAAAATGCAAATTTGTAGTGTCCGATGTAAACAGCTTGATAAAAAAAATGCAAATTTGTAGAGAATCGATCGAGAAATCTTCCAAAAAAATCGTCCTGTTACGTTGTGAAGACGCTGAGAAATATTCAAAATACTGAAAAATCCATTCTTTATGAGCGATCCTTTAATTCATATATGATAACAAGACTTTTAGACCATGTTTCACAAAAAGAAAATACTTTAATAATAAAAAAAAACAGAATATAGCTTGAAGTTTAAAAGCCTACCTTTAATTGATCTAAGATCACCTTCTTGATTTTGTTCACTACTTCTTTCTATTTGATTATGTTCAATATGATATTTTTCAATAAATATTCCAACAAGTTCAGCTAAAAGATGTTTAACATAAGGACGATTTTCATTTTTATATTCTCGCGAAAAAAAATCTAATAAATCTAATGGTATATATGTATTGAATGATTTTGTTGATAATTTATGTTCTTTTAATAATTGTCTGCCAGTTGTTATATATAATTTTGAATTTGGTAATGATGATGGATTTATTATTGATAATTTATCAGAAGTTTTTTTTTCATTTATTTGTTGTTGTATTTTTCTTTGTCGTTTTTCACGTAAACGTAAACGTATATGCTGTGAATTTAATTGTTTTTCACGTTGTATTAATTCATTTGATATTTCAATTTGTTCATAAGCTAATTTATTTTCATATTGTTCTAAATCAATATATGTTTGATTATTTATTGTTGATTTTATTAAACCAAAATTTAAACAATCAATAACTGATACATATAATAATGAATAATCAGTACCATTGGAATGTTTATGAAATTTATATGTATTATTATCATCATTTAATAAACGTTCATATTCATCATTTAAAACTTGTCGTATAATAAATGGTATAATTGTATAATTTGTTTTAGATGTTACACCATTTTTTGTATCATAATAATGATTAAGACGTTTTTGTTGTTGTATAGCATGTTTAACAGTTTGTAATTCAAGATAAAAAATGTCTCGTGTATTTTTAAGAGTCTTTAAACGTGGATCAATTAATGATATAGAAGAATTTAATGGAATTTGTATTAATGAAGAGCTTTTTGTTATTAATATTAGTTCATCTAATGAAGTTTTTAATGAATTTATTGATACGACATTATGTGATAGAGATCGTTCATACACTATATTTTGTTGTGATAATGGAATTGTTTCTGAAGATATTAATGTTTGTCCACGTTTTGTTCGTAATAAACGAGGATCTCGAGACTTTGTTATTTGTTGCTGTTGTTGTTGTTGTTGTTGTTGTTGTTGTTCAGTATTTGATGATGTAAGTAGAGACGGACTTGAATATAAACGATTATATGGAACCATAAAATGATTAGGATATTTTGTTTTTGATGATGTTAAGGATTCAATTGAAGTAGGATTTTGTATTGTTTCATTTATAGTTGTATCTTGAATAGAATCTTCTCGATTAATAGAATTAGATATTGGTGGAGATACTATGGATTTATTTGAATATGAAGTAATAGGTTTAGTTGATTGATTAGATGTTTTCTTTTTTAATGCAAATTTTTTATTATTAAGATTTCCGTTACGACGTAGAGATTCTTGATTTGGTAGATTTTTAATGATATTTGTAGGTATTAATTCAGGTAAAAATTTTTCTGTTAGATCATACCATAGAATAGCAATGGGTAAGATTTGTGATGGACGAGAAACAGTTTCAAGATTTTCATGTTCATAACAAAAAATCTTAAGAAAAAGTAAAATTCATAAATTTGATTATTTAAAAACAATAAACTTACGAAAGAATCTGCTAATAGATCATCAATATGACGTTGTTCTTTATTTATCGATTGAATTTTACAAAAATGATGATCATAATGTAATTGTGCTGATAATTGATTATTATTCACTGATGGTATTGTTGCATAACCTTTTCCCAAAAGAATCTAAAAATTTTTTATTTTATTTTTTTCATTAACTAAATCATTTTATTTTCAAATTGTTTTTTTTTTTACTTTACAAACAAGTAAACCAAATCGATAAAGTCCTTGAGCACCAGATGATGTTAAAAGAACATCGGGACGTCTTGATAAATGAACACCATCTTTAGGATTACCTTGAAAAATAGAAAAATCAAAATTAATAATAATCATACTAAATATATTATATTAATTTACCAAGATATTTTTCAATTGTAAATGATAATTGTTCACAATGAAGACCATTATTAGCAACATTTAATGCAACATCACGATAGGCAATTAAATGAAAACCTAAACGTTCGATAGGATCTTGATCTTTTTTCATTTTAATTCGTTTTTCACTAGGAAAAAAAAAAGTTTTTTTTTATAAAAGAAAATCTTAAAGTTTTTTTTATTTTTTACTTATATAATTTTTGTAATTTTTGATTACGTATTGTATCACAAGATTTACATTGATTTTGTCGAAAATCAAAATGAACTTCTAATGCACATGATTTAATATCATTAAATAATTCAATTACATTACGACTATCAGATTTTTCAGATATGATAATATCTTTAAAGGCAAAACACAAAAAAATATTCTATTTTTTATTCTTAAATATTATTTCATACCTTTATCTGATGTATGAGTTTTAGGTATAACAAAAGGTTTTTTACTATCTCGATCTTCCATTTCTAAAATTAAAGAAAAAAGAAAATGTTAATTTTTTTTCTTTCAATATAAATAAGTATTTGGCAAAGAGAAAAAAGAGAATTAATGTTCAAAAAAGATATTTATTTCGAATAAAAGAACAAAAAAATAAAATAAACATTAATTCTACTTATTCATTTTTTTACTCTTTATAAAATATAAACTATCATCTATCAATCATATATATTTGAAGATCGATCTTATATGTAAGAATGAACAGAAGACATATATAAAAAAATGATTAAGTATTGTTTCTTTAATCTATCGGTTATTTTTTGTATATCTACTTATATGATACTACTAGGAATGCATCTCATTAAAAATTATTGTTAATCTGATTTAAAAAAATGAAAATTACATGCTATTAAGAAATATTTATCCTTAAGATAAAACAAAAAGCGAACAGTTACAATTTTCTGACGATAAATTTTACATTAAAAATAAATAAATAAAAATTTACCTTGAATAAAATATAATTTTCAAATCATATTTTATTTTGTATTGGCGACTGAATTAAACAAATGAGAGGAAAATCTTGCCATGAAACAACAAATCAAATTTAATTGACGTTAAAAAAAAGAAATAGCTTTAAGACGTGTAAAAAAAAGTAGAAACGATGTCATTTTATAAGTACATCGTTTTTTTCTTGTTTTTTCAGTAAATTTATTCATAGGTCACCATCGCAACTTTGTTTATTTTCATTTGTTTTTTTGCTCATTGTGTATCAAATAGACTGGTTAATGAAATATTTCAAAGATAAGAAAAGCAAACAGACAGACCGTTTTTTCTATTATGAACAGAACGAAAGAACTCTCAAGGATTTTATTAGTGACAACTATCGAAAAAGATTACTTTTAGATTGGTTGCAATTTTTTTTCTTTCATTCGAATGATTCATCGTTGTATTTTCAAATATTAATTTTCGTAATTTATTTAAAATTTTATAAAAATAAAAAGAAAAACATCAAAATGTCAACTTCAGATGATTCAGATTCGTCTTCAGTGTATGAAGATCAAGATGATTCTTCAGATGATGAAAATGTATGTAAATAAATTATTACTATTTTTGAAATTTTTATTTATTTTTCATATGAATAGATTTCGAATACTGTTGTTACTCAGGAACAATGGGTTAAATTAATTGAATTTTGTTCATTTAAAACTCGATCGAATGAATCTGTGACAAGAGGTATTGGTGTTGAAAAATTATGTCAAGCAACTGATGTTGATTTTGGTGAAAAAGAAAAAATCGAAAATGGATGGATATTAAATAATAATAATCAAGAAGAATGTTTGATTGTTTCATTTCAAACACCAGTATTTATTAATGAAATACATATTTATGAAAGTCTTAATCCTGGAAGTATTGTAAAATTAGAAATACTGGAAATTCAACGAAGTAAGAAAATAATAATAATCGTTTAGAATATATATATACATATGATTTTACATATAGATAGATATAATAGTCATTAGATGATTTTAAAAATTTCAACAAAAACGCACATATCTTTCTCGAGACATTCATTTACCATAGGAGGACATCACAATTCTGTCTATTTGGAAGTTGAATATCTCGAGAAAGGACGTAGGTAAAGTTAGCACCATATTCGAGTTTTTTGTGTCACGATTCGCTTTCTCACTTGTGTTGGCTCTACAAATAGTTGGGTTGAGTTCAGAATTCAATTCTGCGTCGAATGATACTAATTTCGACTAGGGTTATCGGGCAAAAAAAAAAAGATGACAGTAACAATGCCAGGTCAAAATTTCTGGTCCTTGTTCATCCTCACTTGTCTATTTTGCCCGATAATCCTAGTCAAAATTAGTATCATTCGACGCAGAATTGAATTCTGAACTCAACCCAACCATTTGTAGAGTCAACCCGAGTTAGAGGACGAATCCGGCCGCAAAATACTTTTGGAAAAGTCCTCAAAAAAGTCGTTATTTTGTGTAAAAATGAATTTTTTGCTCGATGATCTCGATTAAAAATGGTACCATTCGATCCAGAATTTAATTCTGCATATAACCCAACCAAGTACAGAGTCAACCCAAGTCGAAAAGCGAATTAGAACGCAAAAAACTCGAATATGGTGCTAACTTTACCTACGTCGAGAAAGGCATGTTCGTTTTCGTTGAAACTTTCAGGTCAAAATTCTTCGATAGCAGGCCATGGACTCGAACCATTTTAGGCTTTTTCTTACCTCAGTATACTCTATCTCTATGAGATAGATTACAAAAGTATCTATATTATCTCAGATGAGATTAGTGATTACATTTTGTGTTCGAATATTTGATTAATAGTGATAGAAAAATAGACATGTGATGAAATAAAACAGTCACGAAAAAATTTGTTCCATACAGAGTGTTATGAAAGTTCGCCGTGAAAAACAAGTTGGATATCTCTTAAGTATCGAATATTATGCAAATATCCCAACACAGATAAATTCTTCACGAGAGTAGCAATTAAAAATCTCATTGAATTGTTTTAATGATTTTCTTATAAGACTAAAATTGAAGCACTGTATGATGTTCAAATATCTCATGATTTTGAGAAAAACAAAAATCCAAGTGAAATAATATAAAAATTATTATTATTCATGGAAAGTACGATCTTGATTATGCTGTTCAACTGGATGAACTCTTTGAATAAAAGAGTCAATCACTTGGTGAACATAACTTAAATCAATTCTTTGACATTTGGATAATCAATGTTCTCATTGACATGATCCCATATAGAATAATCCAATGAGTGTAAGTCCAGTGAATAATGCAAAAATATTAGAGAATTTTATGAGGCATGTTAAAAAAAATCGTCTCAGATTTTATGATTTGTTGATGATGAGATGTATTCATATAAGAAAATTATGAAAACAATTCAATGGGATTTTGTATTGCTATTCTCGCAGATAATTTAGAGATGCAATTTTCGAAAAAAGAAAGTTTATTTTCACTTAATATTTATCGATAAACTATTTAAATGAAAAGTGACTTTGTCAGTAAAAAAAATGAATTCTCTTGATTGTTAACATTTTTTATGAAGTTATTGGTCAATGTATAAGTTGCATAGCTTGATTGGATGATATTCAATGTGTTATTGTTTGTACAATGAAACAAACTATTGTAACATCCTGAAAAATTCGATAGTAACCTCATTTTCACAAATATCATGAGTTTTGTCGATCTTTCATAAATTTTCCGATTTACTACTGTAGTGGTTTCACAAAACAGTTGAAACGTATCTCTAATACGGTCTGCGTTTGACGTTGATATACCAAATTCGACTTGTATTTTTTTCTTCATAACGATAAATAACTTGAATTCGGATATAAGAAGAAAATCTGACGAATGATCGATAAGAAACGGGTAAAAATGTTTTCTTCTTTACTTATGACATTTTTTAAGACATTGAAGATTCTGTTTCAGATTCATTCGACAGAGAATTTATAAAACTTAAAGTGAACAATGAAAATCTTTGATGGGTACCCTAAAAATAGGAAAATGTTTTGACTCGTTTATTATGGGTCACCTATTATTTGTATTTTAATGCCTGTGAACACAGAAATTTAGTAGAAAATATATAGAATAAAACTTCAAGGAACATACTATCATAATATTGAAAACAAATATAAATCATTTAAACCGATTAAAGCATAGTTTTTTTTTACGATGAACTTTTGGGATACCCTCTACTACGTACAACAATTAAGATTATGAAACGAATATAAGATGAATCCGAAGCAAGGATAGAAAAGTTTTTATAATCTATAATTTAATTAAGTTCATGGATAATTCATTTATCTTAACACATTCGAGACGATATGAATATTGTTTTTTCATAATTCGTCAAAGATTCCGATTCTTTATTCATGGCAGTTGTAATATTTCAAAATCAGTTTTTGTTAACGTTTCTCTTATAGATCTGAACTATGAATATTCCTTTATTAGTGGTAAAAGAATCAGCTCCTTTGGTCAAAATATGGCATAGATATTCAAGTTTTTCTGTGCTAAAGAGACTTTTGGGCCACCATGTAGTGCGTCCCACCGGTGGGTCTCATCGGGTTGAATGTGTTAAATAAAATATTTCTGATAAGAATCTATCAAGATCGAGAATTTTGAACTTTGCTATCATTGTAGTTTAGTTAAATTTGTTCTCCAAAAGTATAAAAATGATTGAACAACAAATTAACATACTCAATGTATACTTATCTTTCATTGATAGATAAATCATAAAAGTTTGTCTCAACTTTTTCGATGTAAGACACTTTTTAATTGAAAAAAAAATTCAAGCCTTCTATTTCCTTACTATATTCCAAATGGATAAATATAGAATTTTGTTTTAAATCACCGATGAAATTATTTTCCATTTCTGTAATCAGAGCTGAAAAGATAAAGATCGTTTTGGAAATTGTACTGAGTCTTTGATAACATAATTACACCATATCGATATCAGTACTTTTCTAGCTGGAAGTTAAAAAAAGAAGAGATCAGCTATTTATTTCATTTTCAAAGAATGTTAAGACGAATTCAACATTATTTCAGTATCAAACATAATTTATCTGATAATTTGAAATTGCTGATAAAGTTGACTGGAAGTGGGGCAGTGAGTGAGTAAAGAAAAGCTTGATCATCGTCCTCAAATCGGTTCTGGTGCTGGACATGATCTCATACCTGGACTCTACTAGGCAGTTAATGAAAGTAAAAACCGATTTGATCATTATTAAGCAATTTATTGTACTTAAGAACAGGTCACAGAAGTGGAAAGCGATATTGTTCTACGAAAAGAATTCGTTTCCCAGTGTCATCAGCAACAAATAAATGTATAATTAGCGAAATTGATCGAATTTTAGAAGTAGGAAGACGGTAAGTGAATCTTGAGTTGCTTGCTTTTTTTTTGTAGAATTTGAGGTAATCTCTTGTTTGGTTGCTGTTTGTGGGAAGAAACTAAATAGTATACCTTTTCATATAAAATAAAAGTTTGACAAC